AATAAATTGAATGTTCTTGCTAGCTCTAACGCTGAGCTGGCTAATGCAATAATCAATGGAGCACCATTGTAGCTTGGGGTGACAATTCTGGTGGTCTTATCAACTCTAGCCGCGACCGCTTCACTATAGAGCAGCTGTTTGTCAAGTTAGTGGGATGTTTGCAAAGCATGACAGCGGCAGATAAAATACCGACGGGGAAGAAAGAAAGAGAGAAAGGAAAAGGCAAAGAAAATAGCAAACAAACAAGCCGGGCGGGAAGAATAAAAGAGGAAGGAAGCAAGCTTACAACAAGTGAGATTTCAGACTACGCGGTCACTTTAGTTGGCAGGCTGATAGGCTTCATTCTCTCCTGAGAAGGAACAGTGCTGAAGGGATGTGTCTGCGAACCGGAGGACTCAGTGTCGAGCCTACCGAATGGATGCTGCTGCTAGAAAGGAGTAGTAGAAATTACCATTGTCTTCCCATACTGTGTCATGCAGTAGTAAAGTGCGGCCAAGAAATGGTAGATGTTTGATGATGAGGTGGATGTGTTCAAGTAGATTCAATCAGGGCAGGAAAGGGGAGAAAGAGACTTCAAGAACGTTCAGTCGCATTACTAGGGGGAAAGGTGTTCTGGGAATAAAGGATGTTTGGTGAAAGGAAAAGGGAGCCACAAAGGAAGGTACGATGGTACATGTAAGCCGGCACAGAAAACCACAACACTATGATACGTGCGCGCTCTTAAAGTGGCGTTCTGGTATGCAGGTAAAAGCTCAACGGTATCCTACCTTCTTGTAGACCCGTGCTTGTGGTAGTTAGGTTCAAGTTCAGGGGCCAAGCACCATACAGAAATTGGGATCCATGTATTTTTGAATTTCTGGGGCATTGTGGGGCTGGGTGGTTGTTCGCCCAGTTTTTAGTATAGATATCATACCGGTGAGGGTATAATCATGAAACCTCACTCCCTCTTTCCTCTTTTTCCCGCTGGAAGTGGAACATGACAAGAGGCCTGGTCTTGTCTGCGGCTCCTCACAGTCCCCGAGAACTTCTGACTCGTGGAGGGACCTGGCTATTGGGAGCACTGCGAAATCCTTTCCCTTTTCTTCTATTTCCAACAAAGTCAGAGATACCTGCTTACCCCATTTTTCTCCCCTTTTTCCATTTTTACTATAGTCTTGGAAGCTTGGCGACTTGTCCCCACCGTGAAACCTGAAGTTGCTGCAATATTTATGGAAGCATTTTTTTTTGTGAACAGGTAGTTAGGCTCTGGAGATACAGGTTGGATTGGGTGACCCTTTTCGGATATGCCTCTAGGGACATTGTAAACCTTTGGCGCTACCGCAGATTGTTTTACTAAAGTGTGGAAAGAGAAAGCTAGAAAAGCGCTTCCAAGCTCTAGTATAGTAGTACTTGGAAGGGTGTGGAAACGTTGTCGAAGCGCAAGTAGAAACCAATAGAGACTATAGGCTGAACACCCACCCAAATATCTGGGCAAATCTTAGCGCACTGAAAACTCTCTTCGCGCTCTTTTCTTTCCTGTTCCGGGGATGTTGTGGAATATAAAGATTACCTTCTCATGCGTCAACAGTTTGCTCGTTCTTATTTTCATTCCCGGATCCTTCCCCACTGTCTTACTTGATGAATCGCTAACCTGAATGCTTGGGATAAGGTGGCTTAGGGCACATATTTTTTTCTCAGTCACAGGATCCAGTGCTGGGCATAAGAACCCTTAAAGTTTTTCCGAAAACATGTGCACCACCCCCGACCCGTAACCGAAAATTCCCAAACAGAGACCCGTCCAATATTCCCAAGGGTTCTGCTGTCCATCTATCTATCATTCCCGCAGAATTTATGTAAGGGTCCCATTTCATATGCTAGGAGATGGCAATTGCGCTCGTGACCCATTCCGAATGATCTCCCCTTCTCTTCACCGTTTATGGGCTGCGTCGTAGTGATGAGGGGCAAACCTTGGAAAACAAAGCATCGACCTCTAACGTGGACACTGGTGAATTTTAGTCGGGCATGGCTTTCCCGCCGCAGCAATATCGGAGGGATTTTTCTAACTGGAATTTCGGCGGTGGGATTCAAAATCAATGTCCTGAACATTCACCGCCACCTGCTTTCCGATTAGCTCCATTTTGAAGGAGCCGGGGACTTGAAATTTTACCGACACCGGATAATTCAGTCTGTCAGTGAGGCATGCTGAAGGTGCTACCCCCGGATTTCTGTCGGGCTACCGACTGATAAGCAGAGAATGACTACACCTTAAAGCGTGGGAGTCGAGACCTCCAAAGGCGATGTCGGAAGGAGGGCGGAAGCGGTTGATAAAAGGCTCAGTTTTTGTGGGCGTGCAGTGGAGGCTTCTAACATGTTTGAGAAGGGAGAGCTTCGCGACAAACTTCAAGTGGGTCTGCTTTCTTGTGGTTTGTTTAGAACCTGACGGGAGTGCCATCTAGGATAGCAATTTGGGTACTTTAGAATAACAATGTTTCGTAGTATCGCAGGGGGTAGTAAGGATTCTATATGGTGGGTTTCCTTTGGACCTTAGTGTCTAACTGTGTTGGCGGAAATGGAGGTTCATTGATGGACCTGAGACTATGACATTTTTCACCCACTATCAAAACCCCTCACCGGTCTAAACTATCAAAGGGTGTTCCCGCCTCCAAGCAACACTCCTTCCCCCCCTCGGTTAAAACATTGACACAGAGGGATCACCAAAAAACAGTCTGATGCCGTCCACGCTTGGTGGGCTGGGGTACGTTTCTCATCTCACCCAAACATGGACTCCCCGGTGGAGACTTTCATTCCTAAGCTAATTAATCTTATCATAGCCCGTTTCCAGCCACCACTATCAGACCTCTGGAGGATAATCAACGTACATCAACCGAAAGCGCTAATGAAGGAGACGCAATCATCTACCCAAAACCAGACAAATCAGATGGTATTTCTGACAATGCAACGCCACAGCATGGCGTCTCCAAGGAGCACCTAAAAAGTGTAAGCACAGCACACCACCCCCTCCTCCAACCATCCACCTATTAACAAACCCAACCAGCAATCCCCATCTCCAGCACAAGCACCACCCCAAAATCTCCAGCACCAACTCGACAAAGCCAGGTTTGAAAAGAAACTCGCCATAATTCAAGCGAGAGCCCAACACTCCCCCTTGGCGAAATTGCCCAAGCTGGTATTGCCGGAACGGACGCCTACCAAAGCTGCCACTTTCACCCGGCAACACAGAAGTAGGAACAAGAGGGAGAAAGTGGCCCTTCCACAGCCAAATATTCGAGGTCCAAGGGAGGAAAGGAGTGTCATCGAGTCACTCGGGATTGTTTGTTACTGTGTGATGACTATTTTTGCATACACCTTTGAGATGTTCGGGCATTGGATGGTAAACGTTCTGATGGATCCGATTCTACTGGTGGCTGTTGGTTTGGTCTTGTGGGCGGTGGCGGAAGCCTCGGTGGTGTTTTTCGATTAGTAGGTGGGGAGTGCTCGAGGTTTGTAGATGGTAGTTATATGTAGTTCTAGCGGGTAACATAGTCAACCCCTTTGGGCACTGACTCACCCTTCGCCGCTTTTATAGTTTTGGCCGGCCACGAGACAAGCCGAAACTTCTCAGGTGATAGAAAAGCCGGTTCGCAACCATCGTGTTCGTTTTTTAATACAATTTTGATTCTATGCTCTAGCGGGGTGCTTGGAGCGCTAACAAATGCGATGTCTGCTAATATGATATACACACTGAGCCAAACTCCTTCGCCTCGCGCCTACGATCGAACCTTCAGCCGTCCGGGTGTATGTAGCCATCTCGCTCATATGGCGTAATCCCATTCACCACCACGCCCAGCTTAAAATGTCCTGTTACGCTACCGATCCATCAGTAATTACAAGTACAGTCAATCAGCCCACACACACCACTCCCTCTCACCTCCTATATCACGCCAAAACCACACTGCGAAGAAAGAAGAAGAAAAAAATGAGCCCAGACAGCACAGCACTCACTCTGTGCTTGTTCCGGGCAAGAGGTATTCGAAAACAGGAGTCGGTTCGCCAAATATATAGCGAATCGACCCTCCACGTATGAGGGTCCGGGCAAAATCACGACCCGTATATCCCAAATACTGCTTTCTGGAGGGAAGCACTGCCCTCGGTGGTGTCTACGGGTTTCCCCATAATACCCAACTTATGCGTCAAGTTTGATTCTCGCACCACCTCGGGATTCCCCCCCCACCCGCAGCTCCGCTTATCGATACACTACTCAATCCCAAGTATATTTCCAACAAATCCCAGTGCACAGGATCTCGAAAAAGGCAACTAGGTGACTATCCACCACCAGCACCGCCATATCATCCTTGAACAGAGACCGCAAGGGGGTTGATAGATATTGCTCTGCCATTTATATCCCATAGAGTCGATAATATCCACAGGATAAGCAGCCTAGCGGGTCCTAAGCTCCTTGGCGTAAATAGTGTTATGCCATCAGGTGGATTCCCTTGTCCCGGGCCGGGCTGAGACCCTTCACATAGCATGGGTACACCCGCTCGACGAATATCTTGCGTGATGAAGAAGCTGGCTGGCTTTCGAGACCACGGGGCGACGTCGAAGGATCCGGCACCGCGGTAATTTTTGGCATACGTAATACATAGCGGTTCAAAGTGACGGTGAGAGCATTCTCTCAGCTCCCGTAAATTATGTTAATTGGCGTGACGCAGAACGGGACATTCAGTATCACATTCGTCCACCCCGGTCCCTTGGCACAAAATGACGCATTTCATCTCCTGTTTGTTTATTCGTTTCTTAAGTCGGAGGGCCAGCTGTAGTTTGGGTGAAGGTATCACTTTACAAACGGCGAATGAGAGAGTTATTAGTGGGGTGGAAGAGCTCGTGCAAGGAAAAAACGCTCAAGTGTGATAGGGACAATGCGTTTGTCGGTGTAACAGTAGTTTTGTGCTCACCGACCAAGCCAAGAAATTCCCGCAATTGAAATCATTACCATGGGACGAGAGAGATGGGATGGAAAGACTTTGAAATTTTTTCCCTATTTCAAAGCAAAGGTAAACCTATACATGAAAAGCGCATTAACAGAACTGGGAAGGCAAATGAAGCAAAACAAAAAAATTGACAACCGAGTAATCCGAGCACTACCGGTCAACGCATTTTCCATCCCTTCCTTCCCATCGCTTCCATCTAGAAGATATCAAGTTGACAGAGAATACCCTCCATTTTGACACTTTTGCATATCTCTCTCTCTCTTTGTTTTTGTTTTTATTTTCTCATACCGTTTTTTTTTTTTTTTTTTGTTGAAAACCTGAAATACCATGCCCCCCCCACATCAATAGAAAGAAAAACACCTCCACTGCTTATGATCTGCCTAAAAAGTAAACGTTTTTTTCATTCTACTGTTTTATGGCACCGGATAGGCGAGCTGGTTAATACATCTGTGATAGTTTATCGGTTAGTCACTGGATACGGTTGGAAGGAGAAAGGAATGGGAAGGCAATGTACCTGTGAGAATCCCTCAACGACGAAACCAGTGATAGGCGTATACGCCTTAGTCACATCGTCGTAGATATAGAGCGGGCGCTCGTGATGGATATTCGGAAGGTGGACCTTCGGCATGGTGGTGCGAACGTAGTGATAGTGAAGGAAGGGGTATTGAGCGGTCGGGGCGCGTTGGTAGACGTAGTATTTGGACATCTTGGGAGATGACGGGTCCGATTTTGAATAGGTTGAGTCGTTCGAATGGTTTTGCGAAATGGTGTTTGCGGAGAAGGAGAGGGTGGTGGATTGAGGTGGTGAGAGAAGGAAGGAAGGAGAGGGTGGGAGAAGATTATAAGAAAGAAGCTCGTAGGCGAAGGACGCGGTCTGCGTGTGTTGTGCTTACGTGACTCAGGAGTCCCCAATACCGGAAACTGAGGTGTTCGGGCTGGGTGCCAAACCTTCCATAGTCTCTGGGGCTTTTATGATTTCGGAGGAATTACCCGGGTTGGCTTTTTCCGTTGAACCCTCAAATATCACTCGATATGTAGACGGTTTCCGGTTTTGTGGTATGATATAGTAAATCATTGGTTTATTAGAAATAGCATCATAGCGGGCGGGGTGATACATATTCAGAGGTTCCCCTTGCAGCCCAAAGATTCCCCTGATTCCCTATATCACGATGATTCCTAAGGAGAGTTTAGAAACACCTGAATACGACCGGCCCAGCATTTTCCAGTGCGGGGGCGAAACCTCGTCTCCAAACTAGCGCAAGGGTAGATGGTGAATTTATGGTACAGAGCAGGAATGCTCATCCTTATTTGTCGAGGTAATTTTGGAACACTAGAGAAACACATTCCAACCTGGTGCCATGAATGAGTGATGAGAAAGGTGAAAAGGAAAAATAAAATTGGAAACTGTTAGATATGATCACGATGTGATTGGTTCTTCAGTTCTAGCTTTGTCGATTTCAATAGCCCTCTGATTTAGACGAGGTTATGGTACTGTACACAACTTCCAAGTGCTGTGTCATGTATAACACGCAATACCATTCATTCCTTTACCAAACACCATGTGTTATGCGACAACGCTAATGTCCCCCTTGTGAGAGCAGCTATCTTACCGAACCAGCAGATCATCTATCCTCAACTCCCCTGCTATAGTAGAATCTTGAAATAGGAATCTTGGAAAACACCCTTACTCTGCACAAAAGTTTAGGCTTCAATCTCACTACTGCAAATGAGATTTTTTCAAGTCGCCAACTTGGACCTACTAGAAGTGCTCCAAGAAAAAAAACATAAATATAACTTGTCAAACTCGTGGCGTGGGGTATGTCGGTTCGAATGTGTCGGGATCGCCCATACGCAGAGCAAATATGCTGTAGCAACAGCTCAGATATCTCAACTGCCGTAAAAACTCGAATAATTGAACCATGTACAGTACTATGATATGTCGTTGGAGTTGCCTCTCTCAGTAAGGCCAAGAAAACCCTTTTTCCTTTCTCTCTCTGAAGGGGTAAAGGACAGTGTTTTTGCAGTATTTTTTGCCCCCTTTCCAGAGAAGGGAATTTCGGACGACATAGTTTGTCTACCCAAGTCCACTTCCAGAGTGGTAGCATACACCAGTAGACTACTTGTTACTAGATTAGACTGTGGACAATTTCCCCCGGCAGCCGGGGCGGGTCTTCGGAAGACAAAAGTTCTGCTAAGCGATGGGCAAAAGACGTGGTGGGTCTCCAACCTTGCTCTCAACGCCAGTGTAAAACAATACCACTATTTGGTAAGCAAAGGTAGAAGCAAAGGCCTGTTATGACCCTCTTATTTAGGATCTGTTCTGAAGGGCATGCGAGATTGAGTAGCGGTGCAGTAATTCGCATCTGGAAAGGTTAGTGTTGTTGTTTTTTTCCCCCATAGGGATAGTCCATGTGACGACTGCCATAATAAAAACTCCACAATAATTGATGCCTCTCTACGGGGTAGTGTTGTAGCCTTTGAATAGGTTAACACCAAGTTGGACTTACGAGCACGCCAACTTCTTTTGGACCCATTTTGGGTCAATTCAAATGGGACACCAAATTTATTCCGTGGCATGACACAATTAGAAACAAACGAAATAAGGATGAAAGAGTCATCAACTAAGTATTTAATCATCTCTGCCGGCCCATTTTTCTTAGCGCTGAATGGAAGGCTGCACAAGTACTCGTACAATCGGAGCAGCAGGAAATCGCCATTGTATTCCAACTCCATAGGTTTCTATATCAATTGATCTCGCCTTCTTGCTATTGTGTTCCCCCATTGAGAAAATAGAATTAGGCAACTGTCGCTGGATAAATTGAATATATAAGTTTCTTCTGCCCTCTTCCCCTTCTGCCCTCAATTCCATCTTCACCGTCGACCTCATATTCCGTCCTCCGAACCAAAAAATCAAAATGCCCGAACAACCGACAACCAGACCGAGCGCCAAGGCCCGCCTCCCTCCGCGACCCCCCATTTGTCATTCCGAACCCCAACCCAAACCAAATATCCTCCCTTTTCTCGTTCTCCAACAAAGATCCCTCTTCAAAACCCTCTCTGATGGCTTCGAAAAACTCCAAATCCTCGTTGGCGACCGAAACTGCCCCGAGCAAGAACGTGTTGAGAAGGCTTCTGTTGCCTTGGGAGAGTTAAGCGATAGAGTTCGTGCGATCCGTTGTAGGATGGATGCGTTTATTGGGATAGCGAGTGATGCTGGGTGTATAGATCTGGCGGGAACAAGAGAACCTGGAGGACGCGAGATGCCCTCGCCAAATCTGACTTCTACGGGATCGGGGGAAACCAAGAAGAATGCTGTAAGAAACTTTTCGAGACCATTTCCCCATGTCAAGGACGTTGACCCGCAGGACCAGGATTGCGATTCTGGATGGCCTCGTGCAGCTACAATTGGGGCATCTCGTGGGGGCATGAATCCTACAGTAGAGTGTAGTGTCCACTACCCTACTCTCCCCTCACTAGAGAATCACACCGAACCACCGGGAACAGCCCAAGAGAGAAGGCTGCAAGTGTGCGGGCACCCTGAACATGACCTAACTTCTACCATGCCAACCCGCCAGGCACCTTCTCCTCCGAATGCCCCATCGGCGCAGGGTGATATAAGGCCCCTTAGAGCACCGCCGAGAGTTTCAGTTCTCATAAATTCCCCCCTAGAAGGCACCGATATAAGGCGGCAAGTTAAACGTGCTTCTAGAGTCCGAGACCCGTACTTCAACGAGGTTCGCAGAATTAGCGTACTTAAGACGGGGGTGATTAGGACAACTTATTATCAGGCTGATCCGACCTACGTGGAAAATCTAGTGGTTGAAGACGAAAACTCTCTCTCTTTGAAAAATATCAATACTCCGTACTTGAACTGCATGGGAAGGATAATCGGAAATGGAAGGGGGTTCCTCAGCTGGGTAAATGTGGGGAAGGTAATAAGAGAGTGATAAGGCAAAGGGTTTATTCGATCCGGTTTATTCTTATCCCTTAGGTAGGGGGGTTCGGTATCAGGACCCAGGTTAGGCATCGGGTAAGATTATTTTTTTTGTCCGATAGTATGATACATACCATGTTGCATCTTGAAATGTGAGATAGAACTTGAAACCGGCTTCATAAAGCTCGTTCTAGCCAGCTGCTTCCGTCTTGAAATCCCGAAACACATCTTGCTTTCTCTCTTTCATAAGTTTCAACGCGAGGTGAGCCCAGCACTTTCTGCACGTATACAATCCTAATTTCCTTTATATCGCCCACCACTCCAACAGATCCATCCACCACCACCACCATTGTTAGCACAATGTCATCAAGCAACCTTACCCCTTTGAATTTTCCTTCCGAGTATCCAACTTCGCCACCACTATCTCCCCGACCAACTCGGCCAACATCCATCCTACGCTCCCCCGATAAACCAAGATCATCCCAAAAAAAGTTCGTCCGCTTCTCCATCAAAAATTCTGCAGGGGGTGTGGTTGACGGAAAGCGATCCGGCCAAAACCTGATCACGGAGAACGAATGCCAACACCGGACCTCCGAGAGAAATTTAATGGATTGCTTCCCCGTTGGAGTCTTGCTAGCCTTGGTTGGGATCATAGTGGTCGGGGGTAATGTGTATTTATACTGGTCCCATGTGTGGTGATGGGGGGCCAAGATTAGAGATGGAGCTTCATGTCCGAGCATGTTTGAGAAGGTGCATGAGTTCCGAGAGGCCTTATGCAGAGCTAAGATTTCGGTAGTCTGTTGTAGGTGAGAATAAACACGTTTTATCTTTCTGTCTCTTTTCCCGGGACCACGCAGCGGTATTGTAATCCACATCTTGTGAGAAAAAAAGAATTCTTTGATATAACTTGCCTAATGTTGGGGCAATTTTAGCAAAAGAAGAAAGGAGAACGAATCCACGTTTCTGTTAACAACTAAAAACCGAGTAGCGCGATCGTGTCAAATATGGGATTCCATCTAGTGTGCCCCGGAAACCTCCAGTTCAAAATTTCCCACAAATCAAGATCCAGTAACAAAGGGCACAAATCAGAGCCCATCCCAACCTTAACTTTTTAAAATCCGGGTCGGAATCCACTCCAATTTAACGTAAAGGTGAAAGCGAGTATCACCCACCGCTCGCTGCAATCCTTGCTGCCCCCCCTCCCCTGAATACCCCCCCAGTGGGCGGCATGCTGGCCTGCCCTATACCAATAAAATTCTCGTATCGGGAGTAAAGCTGGAGGACCCAGCTCCCAGGCCAGGAACCTGTTTCGGAGCAGAAATTTAATGTCTGAGACGTCGATTTCACAGACCCCTACAGGAGGGAGCACCTCCAAAGGAGAGACGGTGGTTTGGCTAATAGCATGAAAAGTGGATACGGTAGTTCTGGAGGAAAACATGAGTAGTCATAGAAAATTGGAAAGCGTGCAGGTACCAAAGTATACTCTTGTGCAGGGAACACGGTCACTCTTTGCACCAGCCTACGGGCACTCGATGCGGGGCATCGGTTAGTAGCAGCCCACAACCTAAGAAAACCTATCGCTACCAGTCCTCTGCACGGGCCCTTCTACAATGTCACAACAATGCTCATGGAAAATGATGGAAGTGGGTGGAAGATCGAGTGAGATTTCGTGATAACTTTTCAAGTCATGGAATGAGGGCGGGTTCGGGGATTATGGGAAGTATTGGGATCTATTGTAAGAAATAATATAAAATTTATCCTCTAAAACAAAC